CGACTAAGTTTGGTATGTGAAGAAATGACTAAGAATGAGGATTTAGGGTTTTACAAGAGTGCTACATTTGCCGTATTTTCTCAACCCTAACGCTTAATACCTTGTACATATGGTTCGTTTCATCTGTTGTAGTTGATGTTCTTACATGAGAGATGATTATTTGCCATACCAACAGTTACGTTATTGTTTAACTCTCTTTTATCTTTTCATGATATTCGTAATCTTCTTAATGACATTTTGCCCTTCTATATTACCAGATCCCTTGCGTTTCTGTCAGACTCAAAGCCACATCATACGAGGAGCCAAGTGGATTGCCCAAGCTTACAGCGAGCATCCACGATTCCTCCCTTGAGAGTGTCCTGGTAGCGCTGGGGAACGCTGCCACACTGATCCACAAGTGCTGTAAGACATACCTGGATGAACACCCGGATCAGCGCCAAAGTCTGCTGGATGGTCTTTGAGGTCGCTGGCTCGTAAAGGTATGATGTTATTGAGATTTAGGCAATGTTGATGAATATAGTATTGTATAATCGTTTATACTCCTTCCCCCTTCAGGTTCATTTTGGTCTTGAGGGGGGGCGCATCCACAAGACCATTGTTGACATCTCGAGCGTCCCGAAGTCAAATGTCGACACTGTCAACTTTGACACGTCGAGCACCAGGGCCTCAGATTCGTTTGGGGGTACACTGAGGCCTCAGGGCAGTTTTTAGGAAATCTGAATTTGCCCTGAATTGTCAGGGCTGCACAGGGTGAGGTATCCTGAAATGTCAGTGCTACATTTTTCTCTATACTGTAAACTCAGTGCTACATTTGGTAATGGGTGAAGTGTGGTAGCGGGTAAAGCGAGAATGAATTTCGCAAAAGGTATCCTGCTCAATTCCCACTGGCTCCTATGTTTGAGGTGCACGCCCGTAAGTATTTTAGGCTTCGAAACCCAGGAGATTTTTCGTACAGTACATCTCGCTTCATAGTGAGATTCGACACTATCCTGACTCATCAGGGCTGAACCTACAGCCTTATCCTGAGTTTTCAGTACGCAAAAGAACCGTTATACTGAAATTACAGGACAAGTATTCCTGTTATGCTGTTTTTCCAGGACTAGCACACGACACCTATCCTGAATTCAGGAGAATCAGGATAAATTATCCTGATAATTGAGGCCCTGTCGAGCACCTAACCATCGTCCACACCTACAAAGAGGAGGTTTGAGGTGCGTTAAATGATGAAAATCTCTTGGTGTTTTACTTTGTTAAACAATCTTGATGTTATGTAACATGCTAATGTTGTTCCATTGGTTTTTTGTTTCATTATTCAAATTCTTGCAGCAATGGTGAAGACCGAGACGCAAGAAGTTGGTTACGAATCACTCGCCTTTCTTCTGGGTCCTTGAGACAAACTAATTGAAGAAATGTGGGTGGGAGATAAAGTAGACAACGCCATTTGGATTTTGTTCTTGTCATGGTTTTATTCGTCGACTGCAAATGTGTTGAGTGCAATATGCGTTTTGCACGTCAACCTACCGCCCATTCGCCGACGGTAAAGGTAAATGAAGTTTTCTGTTTGAAGGTAATTTGTTATGTGTGAGGTGCGCTTTTCTGTGGTTTACGTTTGAGCGTTTACGGTCTGTGAATCGCCTCAACGGTTCGTGAGTTATGAGCGTTTCTGTGAAGGGTTGCATTTGTGAGAGTTCATGAGTGTTTACGGGTGTTCGAGAGTGAGCGCGGGAAAGTCCGAGATTTCGTATGTGTTCGTGTTATTTCATGTGTTCTGCGAGTCACGAGTGTTCGTGAAAGTGTCATGAATGTTCATGAGTTTGTTCGTGAAGCGTTCGTTTGATTTTGTGTGAGTTCGTGGTTTTCAGGTGAAGTTTGAGAGTTGCGTTTTCAGTTGTTTTAATGAGTTCGTCTATAATTTCGTGTTTGTTTATAAGGCTTAGGGGATTTCGCCCCTAGCGAGGTGGTCAAGGCTCGAGGCCATGAGCCCGAGCACTGTTGCGCATGTTGCGCAATCATAGGAGTGTGCCAGTCAAGGCACACGCGTTGAATTCCTCGCCACACGCGCGAGTGTGGCAGTGAGTTGGAGCGAGGGAAAAGCCAAGTGCGCGTGGGTCCAGGGTGGATTTCGTGGGACCCTCGAGTGTTTTGTCTATTTCTCCGAGGAGAGAATTCGCCAGGGTGTTTCGCGGCGTGCGCGATTTACTTTCGAAGCTGGTGCGAATTGTGCGAGAGTGATTTCAGCGACTTCGTAATTTCGTCGCGTAACTGCGCGATCTCTTCAGGAGATTCCGTGAGCTGTCACGAGTGGTTGCCACGAAACACCACGAGCGTCCACGAGGCTTCACGAACAAGTATGGCCCACATAAACGTTCATGGGCGAGTATGTTGCCAGTGGTTTCGCATGGAGAAATTTTGGCAATGCTGAGTATGGCTCTAGATGTTATTTCGGTGGGCTGTTAGCTTTCGCTTTTGGTGGGCTAGTATAAATTTATGCTTGTGTTTGTTTGTGATCAATCTTTCAGTGAATGATTTATTCTCTATCAACGTATTGACGTGAGGAGAATTTCTGCACACGAGCCAATCAGTCATTTAATGCTGCGCAACGGAGTTTGGGAGCACTCTAGTGCACACGATTGTTTTCACACTTGGGAAATCCCTCTACAAACACGGACCCTTGGTTAGGGGCTGGTTCTACCAGGCACCCGAGGACCCTTGGAGGTGACCCCGTGGGGATAACTGAGTGGTGATTAAAGGTGTGCTTAGAGGTTCCTAGTCTCAATAGTAGTCAACAAAATGACTGCGTGACTAATTATCTTTGTGTGAGTAAGTATGTTTGGTGTGTGCGTCTGTAAGTGTGTGTGTATATGTGTATGTGTCAGGATGTTATTATTGTCTAGCCTGCAGTGGGGTACTCTATAGCGAGTACAACCCAACTAGGGTTTCCTATATGTATGCCAACTGCTGCTAGTGCAAACCCTCCTTTCTTCATTCTTGTTTCTGACTGCTGATTCTGACATGCTATTAGAGCAGGTCGACCCTCCTGGGTCGATCCTGTGGGTGGGCCCCACCCGATGCTTCCGCTGCTCTACTGCTGTCGCGCGCCCCGGGCGCGCGACCCTTTCTTCCTGCCGCGCGCTCGGAGCACGCGGCGTTTTTCATCCCGCCGTGCGCTCGAGGCGTGCGGCGGTTTTCTGCCCGCCGTATGCCCCGGGGCGCGCGGCGGTTTTCTGCATGGCGCGCCCCCCGTCGACCCTCGCGTCGCCTCAGGGGACACGCGCGCGCCCCCCGTCGGCTCTCGCGCTGCCCCGCTGGACCCGCGCGCCGCACCCCGTCGACCCTCGCGTCGCCTCAGGGGACCCGCGCGCGCCCCCTGTCGGCTCTCGCGCTGCCCCGTCGACCCGCGCGCCCGTCCCCGTCTACCTGCGCGCGGCTCCCCGTCGCCCTTCGCGGCGGCCCCGTTGACCCGCGCGCGGCTCCCCGTCGCCCTTCGCGGCGGCCCCGTCGACCCGCGCGCGGCTCTCCGTCGCCCTTCGCGGCGGCCCCGTCGACCCGCGCGCGGCTCCCCGTCGCCCTTCGCGGCGGCCCCGTCGACCTGCGCGCCGCCCCCGGGGACCCGTGCGCCCGTCCCCGTCGACCCGCGCGTCGCCCTGCGGCCCCCTCCCCGCACACTTGAGTTCGCTTTCCGCACACCCGAGTTCGCTTCCCGCACGCTTGTGCACGCTTCGCGCACACCTGAGCTCGCTTACCGCACACTCAGGGTATGGGGGTGACAGGTATGGGGGTGGCGGGTGTGTGAGCTGTCCCCTGCTCCTCCTCCTCCTCCGTCTCCCACTGCTGCAGCTGCCGCTGAGGGGGGTGGGTGTGTGGGAGACGAAGGAGTGGTGCTAGGGGGGTGACGTGGGAGTGGAGCTAGGGGTACAGCAAGGGGTGTGTGAAAGAGGGGTGTCGGACAGTTGGGGGAGGTTGCGTGGAGGCTGCCGTCGTGTCGCCTGCAGTGCCAGTAGTCCGGAGCCTGTCTTGCTCTCGGTAGCCCAGCGAGCCTGCTGTGCCTGTCGCCCGTGGGTCCGTTGCTCCTGCCGCTCGTCGTAGCCGCGGAGCCAGTTACTCCTGTAGTCCGGAGCCTGTCTTGCTCTCGGTAGCCACTGTGCCAGCCGCTCCTGTTGCCCGTGTGTCTGCAGCTTCAGCCATTACCTCCCATCTCCTCTCCTCTCACAATCCAGCCTCCTCCTCCTCACGTGCCTGTTGTGAATGCCTCTAACTGTGCTTGCCCTTGTGAACCTGCTCTATGACTGCTTGCTCTGCTGATTATACCCCACTTTGACTATGGGGGTGTGTCAGAATGTTATTATTGTCTAGCCTGCAGTGGGGTACTCTATAGCGAGTACAACCCAATTAGGGTTTCCTATATGTATGCCAACTGCTGCTAGTGCAAACCCTCCTTTCTTCATTCTTGTTTCTGACTGTTGATTCTGACAGTATGTACCAGTATGTACGTATGTACGTATGTGTGTATTTGCGTGTGTATGTGTGTGTACATTTAACCATTGCAATAGCAATGCATGTCTGTGGTTTTAAAAAAAGAGGCTTAGGTCTATCATTTCACAAAAGGTTCATTGGCACACTCATTGACTCGTGTGCGACCACTTCAAACTGGATTTGATAGAGTTGACCTTTTTTTTAGACTTTACAGACTGTGTTGTTTCATGTGGTAGTTGATTATTCAAAAGTTAAGCTATTGACCTCCCCCCCATGCTAGGCAGGGGATGGCGGTAGCTTAGATTTTGGGTTGTTAACTGTCACGCATTTTATCGTGAGCATGCGCATCATTCATGACATATCATATGAAGCATTATGCATTGTATAGCATCATTATGCATGCATCTATTTATCATTACCACAATAGCATCTAACAATAAAATATATAGCGCAAACAGTACACCAAATGTGCACTAAACAACTGCAAAAAAATCGTATGGTTTAATGCACTGTGAACAGTGTTGTATTCAGAACTGCTCAACATGCATACAGTGTGGGAGGGTATTATTGTAGTTTACAAGTTTTATTTTCATGATAAAAAAAAAATAAACATGAAAATAAAATTTGGCAAAATCGATCGCAACCCAAAAAAAAAACGGTGAAGCAGATAAGGGGTGAAAGCAAGAAGGGGTGGAGGAGAGAAGAGGTGAAGCAAAGAAGGGATGAAGCAGACGAGAAGAAGAAAATGGGTGAAGCAGAGAACAGGTGAAGTAGAGAAAAGGGTGAACCAGGGAAGAGGAGGAGGATAGAATGGGTGAAGAAGAGATGGTGTGAAGGAGAAGGGGTGAAGCAGAGAAAGGGTGAAGGAAAGAAGGGATGTAGCAGAGAAGCAGATATAGGGAGAAGGGATGAAAGAGAGTTGGGGTGAAGCGAAGATGGTGAAAGAGAAAGGGTGCAGTAGAGAAGGGGAGAAGCATAGAATGGGGTGAAGTAGAGAAGGAGAGAAAGGGGGTAGGAGAGAAGGGGGTGAAGCAAGGAAGCAGAGAAAGGGGGGAAAGAGAGAAAGGGGGAAAGCAGAGAAGCAAAGAAGAGGGGAAGGAAAGAAGGGGATGAAGCGAAGAAGCAGAGAGGGGGGGGAAGGAAAGCATGGGGTGAAGCATAGTAGTCGAGAAGGGGAAGGCAGAGAAGGGTTGAAGAAGATGAGAAAGAAGGAAGGAGATGATAAAGGGGGAAGCATGCATATGAGAGAGAAGGGGGTAAGGAGAGAAGGAGGTGAAGCAGGGAAGCAGAGAAAGGGGGGAAAGAGAGAAGGGGGTGAAGCAGAGAAGCAGAGAAGAGGGGAAGGAAAGAAGGGGATGAAGCAAAGAAGCAGAGAAGGGGGGAAGGAAAGCAGGGGGTGAAGCATAGTAGTAGAGAAGGGGAAGGCAGAGAAGGGTTGAAGAAGATGAGAAAGAAGGAAGGAGATGATAAAGGGGGGAGCATGAATATGAGAGAGAAGGGGGTAAGGAGAGAAGGAGGTGAAGCAGGGAAGCAGAGAAAGGGGGGAAAGAGAGAAGGGGGTGAAGCAGAGAAGCAGAGAAGAGGGGAAGGAAAGAAGGGGATGAAGCAAAGAAGCAGAGAAGGGGGGAAGGAAAGCAGGGGGTGAAGCATAGTAGTAGAGAAGGGGAAGGCAGAGAAGGGTTGAAGAAGATGAGAAAGAAGGAAGGAGATGATAAAGGGGGAAGAATGAATATGAGAGAGAAGGGGGTAAGGAGAGAAGGAGGTGAAGCAGGGAAGCAGAGAAAGGGGGAGAAAGGGAAGGGGGTGAAGCAGAGAAGCAGAGAAGAGGGGAAGGAAAGAAGGGGATGAAGCGAAGAAGCAGAGAAGGGGGTAAGGAAAGCAGGGGGTGAAGCATAGCAGTAGAGAAGGGGAAGGCAGAGAAGGGTTGAAGAAGATGAGAAAGAAGGAAGGAGATGATAGAGGGGGAAGAATGAATATGAGAGAGAAGGGGGTAAGGAGAGAAGGAGGTGAAGCAGGGAAGCAGAGAAAGGGGGAGAAAGAGATAAGGGGGTGAAGCAGAGAAGCAAAGAAGAGGGGAAGGAAAGAAGGGGATGAAGCGAAGAAGCAGAGAAGGGGGGAAGGAAAGCAGGGGGTGAAGCATAGTAGTAGAGAAGGGGAAGGCAGAGAAGGGTTGAAGAAGATGAGAAAGAAGGAAGGTGATGATAAAGGGGGAAGAATGAGTATGAGGGAAGGAGATGAATAGAAGTGAAGGAGATGAGACTGTGGGAAGGAGCCACGGGTAAAAAAGGGTGGTGACAAGGGCAAGTGAAAGGGTTGTGACAAGGGTTGTGACAACGGTTGTGTCAAGGGCTGTGACGGGCAGTTCAAGGCAATTTCGTGGTGCACTTGGGAGCATGGCTGCTATAGCTGATGCAGCTACGCTGGAATGTAGCTGCTACCGGTGTACACTGTACAGTTAAATATATTGATCAACTCTGAAATTGGTACCTACATTATTAGTTCCCTTTAAGTGTGATGTACCTTTTTGTTAAGAAAGCAAGGAACAGAGGGTACAGATGAGAAGCACTGAAAGTTTAGAGATAAGCAAGGCAATGATGCACGCAAGTTACTAAGAACAAGGTACACAACACAAGGCATGTGTCGCATGAAATGCGAACCATAGGTTAGCATTGCATCGACAAGGAGAAGCGCGGCGGTGCAGCAACTTTGTTGGAGCAAGTACTGTATCGGGGTGTTCTTAGCGAGAAGGGCCAGCTGAATTTGCAGCGAGGGTGTACCAAGGATTTGTGCACCAAGGCATGCAAGCGGTGCGCCTGTACAGTGATGGCAGCCAGGGTGCCAGGAACAGGGGGAGTTGGAGGGTTGGCAGGCATGAGGCGAGCATCTAGCAGGTTGACGGTGGAGATTTCCCTTGTACATAGGTGGGCTGGATTTACAGCGTGGATCGTGTGCATGTCGGATGAGTGTGTGTTTGTTGCTTGCGTGTGTGCAGGAGCAGGGCCTCACGCTAAGCCTTCCAACCGAGATTAGCAGCTAGGGACATATTCTCTTGTACATAGGTTGCTAGTTTGCTAATGCTCGGTGCTTGTTTGTTTGTTTTCTCGTTTTACTGGAGTTGCGTGCCTAAGATCTCTTACAATGCTAGCCAGTTAGAGGAAACCGTCGATGGGTTAGTGAACTTTTTTGACAAACAAACAAGGGTGTGCGGCTAAATGCCGCTGAGGTCCGGGCGAACGTACCTGCTAGAACAGCCTAGGGGTAACGAGACGTCGGATGAGATGCAAGGAGAAGCGGGAACGGGGACCCGCGATATGACGGGCACTGGGAGAACTTCGGTCGGAACGGGCACGGAAGAAAGTGAGACTTACCGCATCCCGCCAAGGCGGAGAAGTCAAGGAGATTCACTCACCGGAGCAAGGGAAGATACGTCGCGCTACTCGAGTGGTTCTGAGAGTGGGAGGCTGCAGCGCTGGAGCGATCACGAGATGGGAGCCAGTCAAGAGGCGCGAGGGGAAGGAGCGTCAGGGCGGCAAGCAGACAAGTGGCGTTACACGAACCTGCCGGAGATTAAAGCCCAAGACCCGAATAAAAAAAACGAAGGCAAATTGTGCATACTTTGCCTCCCGCAGCCCACTGTTTTGCCCTGCGTTGACTTGCGTTGAACAATTCAGGTCCTTGGCTTTAAGGTCCCAGAGAGGTTCGTGGGTCAAGCGGGATTGGGAGCCGACCTGCGCAATTACCTGATGCAGATTGACAACGTCCGCTATCGATGGAAGCGGGACGGGCTGGAAGCAGAGGAGTTTTTCCAATGACTATCCAACACCTTGGCGGGCGAAGCGGAGACGTACTACCGTATAAGCAGAGAAGAGCTGATTCACAAGTATGAAGAGAAAGGAGATCAAAGCTGGCGCATAGTGGATGAATTCTTGGAGAACCTCAAACGGCAGTTCTCAGTTCAGACGCCAGAGAAGGTTCAGCAGTTTGCACGGATTGAACGAAGGGACGAGGAGTCTCTGCTGAGCTACTATGGACGGCTCAAGGAGTTGGCGCTGGACATGGAGTGTACGGACGAGCGCCGTCTGATTAGCAAGTTCTTGAATGGCCTGGACAAGCGCATGGTGAAGGATCTGCACGGCAAAGGTTCGAGATGGGGTGGAAAGCCACGTTGCATCAGGTGTATGACTTGGCGTGTCTCTACAAGACAAAGCTGAAGCTATACGAGCTGGAGCAGGCGGAAACTGGGGGCGCTGAGAAGCGACGAGGCGTGTGGATGGCTAACCCACCAGGCGAGGGGAAGGTGCGCGACGAAAGTCCGACGGCAGACCGAAGGCGTTGTCACCGATGCGGACAAGTCGGCCACATTCAGAGGGACTGCTCGGAAGCGCCACGGTGTGACACCTGCGGGGAGCAGGGGCACCTCCGAAGGGAATGCCCGAGAAGCCCCATGTGCAAAAACTGCGGGCGAAAGGGGCATCGAGAAGCAGAATGCTACGCCAAGCGACCACCCAAGGGAAGAAGCAAGAGCCGTAGCGAAATTGAAGAAAAGATGAGGAAGTTGCGCGAGCAGCTGGAAGAACTTGGAGGAGAAGAGAGGGCTGCAGGGGCGATGCTCGTGGGAGCCGAAGAAGAGGAGGATACCCAGAGCCACGCATCATTCGCGCTCATGGCGAGGCCAGGGGTCAGGCGGGAGGCGAGTCGTCATAGGGGTGAAGGGCTGCTCCGGGCAGGGATACCAGGTGGAGGATTTGTGAGAGAGCAGCGGTGTGCGGAGGACCCGGAAAGCGTTCCGGCACCCCAAGGAGCGTATGGTCTGCCAGTTGAGCGTGTTGGAGGCGGCGAAAGGATCAGTGGTGGTGGAAGGAATCCCCGTGGACATGGCCATCGTAGACACCGGCTCACACCACGTGTTGATAGGCAAAGGCCTGGCTGAGCAGATGGAGCTATATGAGGAAGGAAGGCTCAAGGAAAGGGGGTTTTCGGTGATGACGGCGAAAGGTGGAGAGCCCAAGTGGCTTCCGTGTACGCGACACTGCGTGAAAATCGTCTTGAAGCCAGGGGAGCGTGACGAGTGCAGAGTGCAGCTCATATGCGGATTGACCGAATCTGAAGAGTACGATCTCCTGATGGGAATACGGCTACTATACGCTGTGGTCGCCACGATTTACACCTGGCAGGAAAAGGTGATATACCGACCGTGTTTCTGGAGGCCTGGAGGACCAAGAGGGACGTTGCCGGTGCGATTCATGCACCAAGAGCCGAAGGGAGCATATCAAGCGAGGATGGTGGAGCTGGAAGAGCAGCTAGGAGAGATGAGCTGGTACGAAGCCGAAGTGGAACTTAGCGTGAGGAAGCAGCGGGAGGTGTGGACGGAACGGAAGGAGGTCATACCCGGAGAAGTCATGGACAAACGGATCCTGCAGAAGCCCATCCGGATGCTGGAGCTCTTCGGAGGACTAGGGACGGGGCTGGCGGCCACGTTAAAGGCGGACAAGAGGATAGAAAAATGGACCTACGTGGAAGCGAATCCGCGGGTCAGGAAAATGGCTCACCACCACGTGGAAATCCTGAAACGGACGTACCCCGGGCAGATCCTGGAGGGAGCTACAGAGGACAATTGGGGAGATGCAAGGCACGACGTGAAGGAGATATCGAAAGCACAGTAGCCGCATGGGGACGAGTTGACGTATTGATAGCGGGGTGGGAGTGCCAAGGGGTATCCCTAGCGGTGCATGGGCTAGGGCTGGAAGATGACAGGTCAGCCCTGTTCAAAGACATGGTGCGCATCATGCAGATGCTGCACCGAATACACGAAGAGTACCTGTACGTGCTGGAGAATCCAGACTTCGCTTCGGACCCAAGAGAGTCAGTGAAGGCGGCGTATCAGCGCATGACTTCCCTGCTGGGGGCAGGAGTAGCAATGGATGCGGCACAGGCGGGGTCAAGGTCCCATCGGGACAGGAGATATTGGCAGAATGGGATCTCGGAGGGTCGGCTGCGGCTAGAGCCGTCTAAGCTGACAAGGCCAGAGGCAAGGCTGGTAAGGGACATTCTGTAGCCCAATAGGGAAGAGGCACCGGTGCTCTACCCTGATCACCGGCTCATTACCAGTTTAACACACCAGGAGAGCCAAGACAAGTATGGCCCACAATGGTGACCTACTCAGGCTCGTACGCTTTTCAGATGCGCGAAGGGGTACCAGGCCCCGGGATGGTAAAGGACAGGGGGACTGGAGAGTGGGGCGAACCCACCGCGCTGGAAACGGAACTGGCGATGGGATTCCTACCAGGATCAACCGCGGCAGAAGGCGTAGCAGAGTGGGAGCGCAAGCGGGCCTTGGGCCAAGGCATGGATGTGCAAGCAATGGAATGGCTGCTGCACACGATAGAGGTCCAACTGCTGCTGTGGGACATGGAGATCCGTGTAGAGGAGAAGGAATGGTGGGCGGAGGGAGCAGGCCCAAACAGTGATGCTCAGTGGCAGCTCAAGGGCAACCTTACTGAAGCGGAAGAGGCGATACGCACAAGGGGGTGGCCACTCGGAGAGGAAGATAACACGGCAGTCAAGAGCCGTGTGGCCAAGAGGAGTTGCATGCAGAGCTTCATGGCGCTGACTAGTGAGACAATGGCAGAAGCGTTGGGGCAGACTGCAGCCGAGAAGGTGGAGGAGAAGGAGTGGGAAGTGGGACCAGCACTCACGGCTGAGCAAGGGGAGGCCATGAAGGCCATGCTCAAGCGTCACAGGAAAGCATTTGCCTTCACTCTAAAAGAGTTCGGCAGGAGCAAGGTGGGAGAAATGAAGATCGAGCTAACCTCCGAGATGCCAACCTTCCAGCGTAAACGACGAATGACACGGGCGGATGAGGAGATCTGTCGAGAGAAGTGCAAGGAGCTGCTGGAAGCTGGGCTGATCCGCAGGTCAACTTCCGAGTACGCTGCGGCAACAGTGGTCGCGCCCGTAAGGACATGACGGAAGAAGTGCTCTCCAGGAGGATGTGCGGCGATTACAGAGATCTTAACAAGATCACGAAGGGGAATCGGTACACCATGCCAACGCCGGAGGACATCTTTGACAAGCTGGAAGGGGCCCCGGCATTCTCAACTCTGGATCTACGGCAAGGCTTCAGTCAAATACAGATACGAGAGGAGGACAAGGCGAAGACAGCGTTTCATGGTGTGGATGAGCTCTGGGAGTGGAACAGGATGCCCTTTGGGATGAAAAAATCCTCAGCCGTCTTCCAACAAGCCATGGACACGGTGCTGAGGGGCATCGACTGTGCGGCCTGCTACATAGACGATGTCATCGTCTTCAGCAAGGACGCAACCAGCCATGTGGATTGGACGCTGCAGTACGTGGATGGACTGTCACGTAACCCGCCGCCGCGAGGAGCAGAGCAAGGGGGAGAAGGGACAGAGGGGTCCCCAGCAGTGTGCCTGGTGGCCATGGCAAGAGGAATGCAAGAAGCAGATATGGCGAAGTACAAGGGAGCAGGGCCCGAGGATTTTTGGAGGGATCAGGAGGCACTCCGCTGGGTGGAGGGAGAAACAGAAGCAGAAGAAGAAGTGAGTGACCGCGCCAGAGCTCGAGGGCAGACCTACCGATGGTTCCAACAGCAACTGCAAGTGGAGAGCAAGGAGGGATGGAAGATGGTGCCCGCCCCAGA